CCTCCCACGACACCCTGTAAGTCCCCAGGGTCCCCGCTAGACTCCCATCCAGCCCACGGTTCCCCCTGAGGGCTGCCAGGAAACCTGATATTCACACAGGACCGCCCTGGGCTCCAGAAGGGCTCTCAGGGATCCCCAAATCCCCTCAAGGGCTGCTTTGAATGCCTCTGGCCCCCCCAGACCCCAACAGACAGTCCAGGACCCCCCAGGAGCCCCCTACACCCACAGATCCCAAGAGACACCCCATGACCCCCCGGGAGCCCCAGATACCCCCCCATGGCTCCCTTCAGACCCCAAGAGCAGATCTGGAAGCCCCCACACACTCCCTATAGGTCTCCCCAACCCTCCTGGGGCCACCTCAGCATCCCCTTCACCCCAGGGTGGGTTCCCGGAGCCCCCCTGACCGACCCGTAGTCGGGCAGATAGTGCAGGAACACGGAGCCCAGGACGATGGCGACAGAAACGCCGGTGAAGAACACTGCGTGCATGTTCAGCACGTCCACGTCGGGCTCATCGGAGAAGCCATGATAGTCGGGATTCTGCGGAGGGGGGGGAACACTGAGGGGTCCGTCTTTTGAGCCCCCCCAGGGATCCCCCAAATACGTCCCTCCCCGCCTCTGGTTCCTTCCCACAGACCCCCAAATGTGTCTCCCCTCCCCCACCCCCACCGGGCTCCGCCCCTACAAAGCCCCGCCCCTGGTATGAGGCCCCGCCCCGAACACAAGCTCCGCCCACACTATTGCTCCACCACTGAGCCCCTCAAAGCCCCGCCCCCAGCGCGTGGCCCCGCCCCCACGCATGAACCACGTCCACTTGGAGAAAGAAACGCCCCCACCGCCTGCTGCTATGGAAACCCCACCCACTCCCAAGCCCCGCCCCCGAAGCTCCGCTCTGTGAGGCCACGCCCCCACCCTAAAAGCCCGGTCCCTCACGGTTTGCCCTTGGCCCGCCCGCCCCCGCCCACCTTCCTCTGCGCCGCCGCCATGTGCTCCTCCTCGTGCGGGTCAGCGCCGAGCGGCCGCGGCAGCGCCACGGCCCCGGTGGGCCCCGCGGAGCGGCCCCGGGCCCCGCCGGGCAGAGCTCGCAGCGCCCGAAGCGCCCGCGCCAGCGCCGCCATCTTCCCCTGCGCTCCGACCCGCCCCTTCCCGCCCTTCCCACCCAATCGGAACAGCGTCCCAGGGCATCGCCCCGCCCATAGCGCCGCGGAGCCAATCACAGTCCGTCGTTACCGCCTCGCCCTGCCCCCTTTCCGTCCTCATTCTCGGTCAGCCCCGCCTTTCGAAGCGAAGACCAATAGCGAGGGGAGGAGAGGAGATGGGCGGGAGTTCTGACCAATGGGAGCGCGGCGGGGGCGGGCGCGCGGGCCGGGCCGGGCCGGTCTGGGAGCGGCGTCGCCATTTTGGCCCCTCGGCAGCGGCGGCGGCGGCGCCGCGCGGGCAGGTCCGGGCAGCTCGGTAGGGCGGGGCCGAACGGGAGGGGCGGGGTTACCGGGGAGGGGCAGGGATGACCGGCAGCGCTGGGATTACCGGGAGGGGAGGGGCTGACCAGAGCCCCCCGCGCTGATGGGGAGGGGGTAGGGCCCAGGGTTGAGCGCGCCTTGTATGGTAATTAGGGGGCGGGGCATCACGGGGCCCTCCCCCACCTTTGATTTTGCAGCTCCCAGTGATTCCCAATTCATTCCATTTTTCTCGCAGTTATTCCCTGGACTCTTCCCAGTTTGTTACAGAACTGTCCAGTGACCTTCTCAGTCGCTCCCAGTACATCATCGATTCATTCAGATCCTTTCCAGTTAAACGCAGAACCTTCCAGTGACCACCTCCAGTGGCCCTTCCCAGTCCCTCCCAGTCTGACCAGTCACCGCCCCCACAGGTGCTGGTGCCATGGAGTATGAGCGCAGGTAGGGGAGCCTCGAGGGAACCCCAAAACCGAGGATCTGGGGAGTAACATTTGGGGGCCTCTCGAGGGACCCTCATGGACCTTCTATGGGGGAAAATGTGATATTTTGGGGACCCTGCAGGTGGCAAAGTGATATTGGGGACCTCAGAGGGGAGGGAACACTTGGGGACCTCACAGGGGACACGTATGGGGACATTTGGCCACCCCCAACGGGAGGTAATTTCACTGAGGGCCACTGAGGGGCCACTTGTGTTCCTGGGGGGGAGCTTTGGGGACCCTCAGGGGAGCGATCGTTGGGGACCCCTGAGGCTGGAGAGGACTTGAGGACCCCCCACCCCTCTGCTGTCCACAGGGGCGGCCGCGGGGACCGCACGGGGCGTTACGGGGGGGCCCCGGCGCCCCCCGAGGACGGATCCCGCACCCAGCGGGACCACGACTATCGCGACATGGACTATCGGGGCTACGGGGGACCCCCAGATGGGCCCCCCGCGCCCGGGACCCCCCCACAGGTGGGTGTCAGACCCTGAGGGGGTGTTGGGTCACCCCGTGGTGGGTGCTGTGATCCTCCCTAACACCTTTACCCCCCCCACCCTCCAGGCATCCTACGAGGCTGCGGAGCCCCCCCGGAAACGGGACCCTCCCCGGGACCCCCCCGTGGCTCCAGCGCTGCCGTTCGGTGCCGACAGCGACTACCGGGACCAGGATTACCGGGAGGGCCCCGAGGAGGAGCCGCGCGCCAGCACCATCGTCATGCTCAGGATGCTGCCCCAGGCGGCCACCGAGAACGATGTGAGTCCCCCAACCCCAACCCCAACCCCAAACCCCCACTGTGGCCCCGCCCCCAGCCCCGCCCCACAGCAGCCCCACCCCAATCCAGCCTGGCCCCGCCCCCTGAGCCCCGCCCAGGGCCCTGCACCAGGGGCTCCTGAGTGTCCGTGGGAAGGATTGGCCCTGCCCCCTGCACTGGCCACGCCCCCTTGTCCCGCCCCCAGGCCTCACTCATGGGTGTGGTCATGCCCCTTCCTCTTGGCCCCGCCCTACTTTCCTTAGGCCACGCCCCCACAGTACTGGCAGTTCAGGGTGGAGATCTGTGGGACCCCACTGGAGACACTCCAGGGACTCTTGGGTGGGACCTGGGCAGGTGTTGGGGTGTTTGGAGTTCTCCCTGTGTTCCTCCTGATGTGGTGCCGTCTCTGTGTCCCCCCCGTGTCCCCCCAGATCCGGGCACAGCTCCAGGCCCAGGGGGTGCAGCCCCGCGAGGTGCGGCTGATGCGCAACAAGTCCTCAGGTGAGTCCCACCTGGGCTCCTCCTGCACGTCCTGACCCCTCTCTGAACATCTGGGACCACCCCCACATCTGGGCCCTGCTGTGGGGGGGGGGTGGGCACCCGGCTCCGTTTTGGGGTATGGGTGGGGGGACACCCAGACACTTGGATCCCTTGGGGGGGTTTGGGTTCCTGTCCTGCCCATGCTGGGGGGCACCCAGGGGGGGCTGATTCTGTCCCCAGAGGCACCCAGGGATGTTTCTCCCATCTTTAGGAGCACCCAGGGGTGCTGTTCTTGTTCCCCAGGTGTTCTTCTGTCAGGCTTAGGGGACACCCAGGGGTGCCAGGCTTGTTTTTAGGGACACCCAGGGGTGTGGCACCGGACTCAGGGGGTACCAGGGCTGCTTATCTTGTCCCCAGGGGCACCCAGGGGTGCTGGTCCCATCCCCAGGGGCACCCAGGGGTGCCTGTCCCCTCTCTAGGAGCACCAAGGGGTGCTGGTCCTGTTCCCCAGGGGCACCCAGGGGTGCTTTTGCCAGCTTTAGGGGGCACCCAGGGGTGCCAGTCCCATCCTCAGGGGCACCCAGAGGTGCCTGTCCCTTCCAAGGAGCACCCAGGGGTGCTGTACCATGCTTAGGGGGCACCCAGGGGTGCCCGTCCTCTCCCTGGTGGCACCCAGGGGTGCCAGTCCTGTTCCTTAGGGGCACCCAGGGGTGCCAGTCTTATCTCTAGGAGCACCCAGGGGTGCTGATCTGGACTTGGGGGACACCCAGGGGTGCCCATCCCATCCCCAGGGGCACCCAGGGGTGCCAGTCTTATACCTAGGGAGCACCCAGGGGTGCTGTACTGAAATTGGGGGGCACCCAGGGGTGCCCATCTTGTCTCTAGGAGCACCCAGGGGTGCTGGTCCTGTTCCCCAGGGGCACTCAGGGGTGCCAGTCCCTTCTTCAGGAGCACCCAGGGGTGCTGGTCCCATGTCTAGGGGCACCCAGGGGTGCTGCACCAGATTTGGGGGGCACCCAGGGGTGCCCATCACCTCCCCAGGGGCACCCAGGGGTGCCATTTCCTCACCCAAGGGGCACCCAGGGGTGCTGGAGCCCTTCCAGGAGCACCCAGGGGTGCTGTGCCACGCAGAGGGGGCACCCAGGGGTGCCAAACCCAAAGCTGGGGGCACCCAGGGGTGCCTATATTCAGCCCTAGGGGCACCCAGGGGTGCCAGGCCCTTCCCCAGGAGCACTCAGGGATGCTGAGCCCTTCCCAGGGGGCACCCGGGGGTGCCCAGACTCTCCAGAGGGCTCAGAGGGGTCCGTAGGAGCTCCTAGGTTTCTTTGGGGGGTCCCAGAGGCGTCCAAAACCCAACCCAGGGGATTCCAGGGGGGCCCAGGGGGGTCCTGGGAGCACCCAGGGGGTCTCTTCCCCACACAAGGGGGGTCCCTGGGTGCCCCCCCAACCCCCCGCCCGTTCCAGGTCAGAGCCGCGGCTTCGCCTTCGTCGAGTTCCACCACGTGCAGGAGGCGGCGAGATGGATGGAGGCCAACCAGGTGGGGGAGGGGCGGCCGGGGGGG